GGCCCTGCTCTGACATCTCGTCTTCAGTCACTTTCTCACAGACGCGCCTCTCTGTCTGTTTTACAAATACTTTCATGGCAATTGCTCCAAGGAGCTGCATTCGCTGGTTCTCAGACTTCATGAGTTCAAACGCCCTACGAGGCTGGATTCCCACTCTCACCCTTTCACTGTCGAAACTCCTAAATGTAGCCGTCCCTTCTACTCCAATAGCTTCATGTCTCGCACCTCTCGCATGTGGAACTCCCTTCCTTATTCCAGTTTCCCTGATAGCTATAATCTCCAGCTATTCAAATGTTAATCGACATCTCCAGTTGCCTTGATCTATCCACTGCGCTTCTCCTCATCCTTTCTTCTATCCCTCCTATCTGATTTTCTGTAACCTCTTGCATCCTAGTGGCTTCTCGCCTTGCTTGGGGTGAAACGCTTAAAAAGAAAAGAAAAAAAAGACCTACCGGACATTATTCGTAACATACTTGTTGACAACACTAATATTATCTACATGCCAAAAAAATGGCTAAAAATAATGGAAGCCTTATTAATAAAAAAAAAAAATAATAATAGTAACTAAGAACATGGATACAATATCGTGACGGTGTTTTGAAAAATGAAAACATTTTATAAGACATTCTTGCAACAAACTATTTCTTAACAGTTAAAATATTTAATCCTTGAAAATCGTATTTAATGAAATGTGCATGAAAGAAGGATTGCTGCCTAAATACTCTCTCTCTCTCTCTCTCTCTCTCTCTCACACACACACACACACACACACATATATATATATATATATATATATATTACCAATATCCGGACTATCGTTTTCTGTTAAACCATATGGGAATTACTAATGCCCACTTCGAGACTAAAGTAATACACTATTGCCTACTAGACATCATGTAGGAATCCAGATAAAAAGCTTTTAATTTCATTGCGGACTTCCATCAGATGCAGTTGGTTATTGCACAGATGTATCGCGCAGTACACCATCCTGTCGTCAATTTTCTATTTCAGACTAACACATTGTACCTTAAATATTATAACTGATCCATAGAGAGCTCAATGTCTTTTCAGAGCATATATATTTTTTCGGCAAAAATTAAAATTACCTCAGCATGAGTATAGTCTATTTCGGGCTGGTCTTAACCCAGCCGTCTTCAGCTCTTAAGTGTTTGTCTGGAAAAAGGGATTAGAATGTATCTTCAATATCAGTTCCCCTCCGTATATCAATGTATGGACGCGTGTGTATGCGTATAGCTGTTCATATACATATATCTGTACACATAAAAGTGTGTGTGTGTGTAATCGCACTGACACGTGTGTATGTGGATACATGTGGATGTACGCATATTGGATATTACCATCCCAGTATTACCAACAATTTATAAATCTATCAGTCAACTGATTTACCTAAATTTAATTGCTCTTAAGTTTAAATCCCCCATAACTTACTAATAACATTAAACCCTTATGGTCTAAGGAAGAGACAATTGTTGTTAGCATACGGAGCACCCCATAATAGTAACCGAATTTTAGTTACAGACAACGAAATGCTGTAGCCATAAATAAACTCCACTCCCAAATAAAATCCTGCACGGCCTCCCACAGTCACCAACACAAGCCCCTTAACATAAACAAGTCGTCTCTCCGAGGGGAACTGATATTGAATATAAATTCAATCTCTTAATAGCTAAAGACAGCTGGGTTCCGACCAGCCCGAAATAGACTATACTCATGCTGGGGTAATTCTTATTTTGCGTTTTGCGTGTATTATGGGAGCATGTTTTCACGAAAAAATGTCTAACTAAATAATTCAGACAAGTTTTGTCTACTTATTTTGTAATAGGATCCTCTCGTAATTACGGACAATGCTGATGCATATTCATTTTAATCCGAGTACTTTCGACATTAGCACAGTGTCATCATTTGTATCCTTTTTTCTAAGACAAAAGTTTGTTGTGTTTATCATTTTTCTTTAGACAAATAGTTCTTATATATATATATATATATATATATATATATAAATAAATTCCAAAGAGGATAGAATCCAGAGAGAACTCAATGTCCAGGATAGAGTATGCCTCAGATCACAAGAGATTGTTAATCATTTTGGAAGGCATCTGCCAATTAAGAAATATAACCAATCTTTTTTTACTGATCAGAAATTTGACGAGCCGAAGTTTGCTTGGACCCTGAGAACGTAGAACCTCGGCGCAGGATTACTTTTTGTCATGGCTCCTTACCTATAACTACAGAATGAACTCGTCCTAACACTATGTATACTACGCCTCTCAAGAGAGAGGGACGAACCAAGCCGAGCTTCTCGACTTGACGGTCGAACTTTTTGCCTCTGTGCAGAAAGGAACCCGGACGAGGTTCCGCCGAAGGGCGGAATCTCGTTCGGGGTGAATGACCTACCCTGATCTCGTTTTTACGAGTCATACGGGCATATTTTTGGCTGAGCCTACGGGCTCAGGAAACCCACGATAAAAACGACCTTGTGTCACATGCAACCCTCGTGGGGGGGGGGCTAGATACCGAATCAAGCCGAGCTTCTCGACTTGACGGTCGAACTTTCTGCCTCTGAGCAGAAAGGAACCCGGACGAGGTTCCGCCGAAGGGCAGAATCTCGTTCGGGGTGAATGACCTACCCGATCTCGTTTTACGAGTCATACGGGCATATTTTTTGGCTGAGCCTACGGGCTCAGGAAACCCACGATAAAAAATGACCTTGTGTCGCATGCAACCCTCGTGGGGTGGCTAGATACTGAATCAAGCCGAGCTTCTCGACATGACGGTCGAACTTTCTGCCTCTGAGCAGAAAGGAACCCGGACGAGGTTCCGCCGAAGGGCAGAATCTCGTTCGGGGAGAAATGACCAACCCGATCTCGTTTATACGGGTTTTACGGGCATTTTTTGGCTGAGCCTACGGGCTCGGGAAACCCACGATAAACTCGGCCTTGTGCCACATGCAACCCTCGTGGGAGGGTGGCTAGATACCGAATCAAGCCGAGCTTGACGATCAAACTCTCTGCCTCTGAGCAGAGAGGAACCCGGACGAAGCTCCGCCGTTTATACGAGTTCTACGGGCATTTTTTGGCCATGCCTACGGGCTCTGGAAACCCACAATAAACTCGGCTTTATGCCATATGCAAACCTTAGGGCGGGTGGCTAGATACCAAATCAAGCCGAGTTTCTCGGCTTGATGGTCGAACTCTCGGCCTCTGAGCAGAGAGGAACCCGGACAAGGCTCCACCTAAGGGCAGAGTCTCGTTCGGGGAGGCTGACCGACCCGATCCCGTTTATACGGCTTCTACGGGCATTTTTTGGCCGAGTTTACGGGCTCGGGAAACCCACGTTAAACTTGGCCTTGTGCCACATGCAACCCTCCTGAGGGTGGTGGCTAGATAAAGAATCGAGTCGAGCCGAGAGTAGTTCACTCCAAACCAGGCTGACAGTCACACTAACACCTTCCACATCTTGAATTATTATTTCATGTAATATACCTTCGTTATTTCTACTCTTGTGTTCGTGTTGTTCTTCCTTGGTCCTAACCTGGACCATAACACTTTTCTTTTACACCCAAGAGCGTCCGTAAACTTGCACTACTTTGACGAGAGTTCACGGCAGTAGAAGTCGTTACGAGCTTTGGTGACCCTCCGGGCCCTCTCCTCTCTGATGATCTTGCATTCGCTTCTTTTATTAAAGGTACACGTCTCCGCATTAAAACGTTAGGTGAGGTGTTGAATTCCGTTCTCCCTATTCCCCATCCCTGTCGCTTCCTCTAAGAAATGATGCCTACTTTGTTTTCCACTGTAAAAAAAAAAACAAAAAAAAAAAACGAGGAAAATTTTCTTTTGTTGATTCAGTTTCTGATGCAGCTTTATTGTCCATACTGAGGAATTTCCGATAGCACAAGAGAATACAGAGATGAGTGTTTTACTAGAATGTGTATGTTCGTTTCAATTAGTTAATGCTGAGTTATTTATTGTAACATTTATATGAAAATGATGGAAAATATTTTCGAAATATCCATAGCAAAATTTCATGCATGGATCAATTATTTTTTTTTCAATTATCGATTTCCCCTTATTGTTCATTCTTCCTTCGCCGCCTATTCAACGTCATGTCTCGTGTGCATTTGGATAGAAGCATGTACTGTCTTTTATCTGAAAGATCTATCATATAAATAAATAAATAAATCTTATCTATTGATAAAACATTATTGTTAGAGAGGATAACTCTTATGCACGAAAGAATTGTTTTGCATGTTTGCAAATTTAACTGTGTTGTGTTGCGAGGAAGACAATATTTGAATCGAAATTCAACGCAAACCAGATCGGTGAGCATCTAACAAAGCCAGGGTTATGTATTCGCAGGCATCCTGAGAATTATAGTGAAGTTCTCATGTACACTCATGATGACGTGCAAAAGTTCTTTCTTATTATTCTACACGATCGATATATTCAAAAAAAAATTAGCCAAGCAATAGTGCAATATTTTAGTCTTGATCACGCAAATTCTTATTTTCCTCAACTGACGTTCTCCTTCTAATTCTAACCTATCTATCTATCTATCTATCTATCTATCTATTTCACTATATATTGGTTTGGTTTGCTTTGTTTTGCAGCATATGACGCGCAATGCGCTTTTTAATGCCGACAAGATTTTTTTTTTATTGCTGATTATATTATCTATCTATCTATCTATCTATCTATCTATCTCGGTTTAATCTATCTATCTATCTATCTATCTATCTATCTATCTATTGGCTTGGTTTGCTTTTTTTTGCAGCATATTACCATCAATGGGCTATTTAATGCCGACAGGATTTTTTTTATTGCTGGTTCTATCTATCTATCTATCTATCTATCTATCTATCTATCGCATTTATCTCATTATGTTAATCTATGTACGTATGTATATATTTATAACTATATCCGAACGCGCACACAGAGAAGCAAGCAGATCTTTTTCTCGACTGATATTCTAATTCTATACCCATGTTCATCTGTCAACCGCATTATGTTTATCTATCTATCTATCTATCTATCTATCTATCTATCTATCTATCTATTTCACTATATATTGGTTTGCTTTGTTTTACAGCATATCACCCTCTATTTAATGCTGACAAGATTTTTTTTATTGCTTGTTATATTATCTATCTATCTATCTATCTATCTATCTATTTATCTATCTATCTATCTATCTATCTATCTATCTATCTATCTCATTACTTTTATCTATCTCATTCTCTCCATATCTATTTGTTTATCTCACTATATTCATATATCAGTCTTTTTGTTATCGATCCGTCAATATTTAAATACACTCGCACGCATATACCGACACACAGACAGACGCACGCACACAGATGCAAGTGAACACCTAATACATAAATATAAACTTTGGGTATTTGATAGTTTTAATTCCGAGATATTAATTAATAACATCAAGGTTGTTTTTGTTTCAAATATTACATAACATTTCTACCACATTTCTGACCAATATATATCTTATTTTTGTTTGAATTTTTAGAATCAGAACTTATCATTACTTACAACTTTTACAGCTGGAATAATGTCTTCATCCTCTTGCTATTAATACAAAGTTCTGTTGCATATTAATTGTTTTTTTTCTAGGTAGCGCAGAATGAAACTTGGTCGAATAAGGAATAAAAATACAAAGAAAGGAAAAAAGAACATATTGATATATCACCAGATGTGAACAAAGGAAGAATAGTCTATCACTGTAGTTTAAATAAACGCTTCAATTAAAAATACCCGCAAGTTGACCCAGACGCAACAGACACCTGCATAAAGCCGTATAAAATCGGCAAAACGTTCAGATTATAGCAGCAAAGATGAGAACATTAGATCGAATGCAAGATAAATATATCCCCTGCTTAAGGGCAATTAGATATTTGCATATTCAAATTTAAAGTACGTTTAAAAAAAATAATTATTTCCTTGTTCTTTTACAATCTGGTCTTTTTATCTGCTAAATAAATAAACGGTAAATTCTGCCTGTGCGTCCGTGTATCTGAAACCCCTCTAAGTCGGGCCACATTTGCTCTACACAGACATATACCTATTTGGGATCAGGATGAACTTCATCTGATGTTTGAACTTTCAGCATTGGGATTTGTGTCAAAATGAGGAATGAATTTTTAAAGATTCAAATTTTAAAATAACTGAAAGAAAATTAGTGATTGGAAAGTTTTAATTTATCTCTAATTTAAAGTAACGTTTGTGATATTTGTGAATTAAAAAAATGTTTTAAATTCAGGTTAAAATATCTGTAAAACTTTGCGAATTGAGGCAGTCATTTTTTTTTCTTCAATATGCCAAGGAATCAGAATTAAAGCTTGTGCTTTTGTGATGTAAGATTTTGAAGTTCCGTAGAGTTTCTGATTTGAAGAACTCAACCATATTGAAGTTCCGCGGAAGTTGTGATTTGAAAAAGTCAATTTTTGGACTGAGTCGAACATTCGACCGAAATCGTTATTGTGGACGGAATTGGACTTACAGCACCAATCAGAGTCAAAGTGAGGTTTTAAAGTTCCATGATGGAATTAAAAATAGAACTAAAATTGTGGAATTAAAAGTGACTTTGTTATGTAGTGGTTTCACAGTGGAGGCTTGTATTTGTACTAAGTCGGTCCTAAAATAGGTTCGACGTACAAAACGTTAGGAACTTGATATAATAGGTATAACGCAGAGTAATCTAGTTGTGGTCGCTAATACTTTAGCATCCGACTAACGGTCGTCCGACATCGACTGACTGACCGACTCACCTGTTACTCTTACTACTCCTACTTATTATATGTCGGAGAATCTATTAACTATAGAATAAGTGTGTTCCACTATAACCCCCCCCACTAAAACTTTACTCTAGCGTGGTTTTCGAAGCATTCAAAATTATCATTGTTGCTTTCGTAGCTGGACCAGATGGCCCTTTAGTTTTGGAGTGATTATTTATATATCTTCCTTCCATATTATTTTCACAAAGCTGGAAATAGGAGCTGAGCATTCCAAGCCTACGTCATTTTGAGGTTGAATCCGACCCAAGAGTCGCGTAATTCTGGCAATAATGCATACAAACCATCATTTTCCGGCATCTTTACCAGTGGATCACCTTACAACCATATCACGTTGAAACAATGATTGTCGTACAATCACCGAAGTTAAGTAAGCTCGAGTCTTGTCAGTATCTAGATTGATGACAGCTTAGGAATATCTAAGCTTGTATGTGCTGATGATATAATGGGCTTACAATTCTATCACATTAAAACGCCGCTTCCCGTAAGATCACCGATGTTAAACAATATGGTCAGTACTTAGATGCATGACCTCTTGGAAATAGCAGGTACTGTAAGCTTGAATGTGCGGGTGGTGTAATGTAAAGGCTCGGAATTGGAAGTCGAAGCACTGAGTTTCACTTCCAGTAGGATTCGTTTGATTCACTTACGCACATATGGGAAGTTATGATCCAACTTCTTATCCCCCAGGAATGGGTTAATTAGTAGTACTTGTATCAAGAAAAATCATTAGTATCTTAAAAAATTCTTACCATCTGAAAATATTTTCTTGCTTTATATAACATGTAAAAAAAAGTTGATAAACTTTAAAAAATAATTCAATCTACCAATCAGAAAACAGTGGACCTTATATATATATATATATATATATATATATATATATATATATATATATATATATATGCATTTGAGGTCTGGAGAGACCATCGAACCTCAGCAGACATTGAAAGTGTCGAGCCATATTGAGGATTTGGTCGGTGATGATGAAACTTTGCTAGCGTGGTTTTCGAAGCATTCAACTTTCAAACCGATTTTTCTCCACTTAGCTGTGAATGGTAGGCCAGTCCTGTATTGTGTGTTGGTTTTTCGAAATGCGCCCTTAAACTGACATAATCTGGATTGATGTTTTCTAATATTCTGATAATGTTCCTATGCGGCTCGTTAAATAAAGGCTAAAGAATCTAGGACCGAGTAGTTAGCCTTGATAAATGCCTGGATTTATCTAATGAGTTTCAGAAAACAGGCCATTCACGATAACCTTCACGGACCGACTGGAAAGAAACGTTTTTACGATTGTGTATATTTCTCCAGAGATGCTCTAGCGTGCTAGTTCTTTTCGTCAGCATATCTAAAACACTTGCTCTGATAACAATGTCACCTTCCAACGCTTTTCTGATGACATCAGCAGTGGTCCTAGAGGAACGAATCCTATACTGTTTGTCAATCAGGAGGATGTTTCTTGTAGATTATAAATTAACTCATTGATAATAAATTCAAAGCATTTATTTAAAAACTCTAAGGAAGCGAGATTAAGTAAAAAAAAAAACTGTCAGGATAAGCAAATTGCAGACATGTATTTGGTCGGTGCATAATTATCGGGCGTTTTTAAATAATATTTATTATGAAAAAAAAATATACCAAATCAACAATGACATTTTCAAATGATTATTCCGGAGCGTATGATTATCGACACGCATTTTTATAACCTGAAAATAAAATATTTTATTAAAAAAAGGAAACAAAACAGTAATTTTTATTAAGAAATAACGCCTACAATAACGCCTGATAATTATGCACCAACCCAATATAAAGAATTGTTTAGTAATCATCTTGATGATATTAATACGTAGATCTCTGCTTTCGTAGTCTTTGGCCAAACATAGTTAAGTCTACCATATCGATGCATATTGAAGACATAGGAAACGTTCTACACAGCTATATAAACATAGGTAAATGCGCACAGAAGCAATCTCAGTCATCAATTCCTGCCCACCAGGATTCGTACGTAGACATTCAGACGAAGTCATACGAATATTACGGAGGCGCACATTAGCTACGCATATACCCAGTCGGGCAGTCAGATAAACAAATTCAACCGGGCGGGATTATTTATTAGTAATCTTGATCGACAGTACAGCGGAAAATGTATAACTCGGATTAAACCCTGTTTATGCCGCCATATTAACCGACATGTTTTGTCGGGAGATTATTTCCTTTCGATTGGAAAGCAGTCAGGCTTCAATGAAACTATTGGTTTTCTTTCTTTCTTCTTATTTTCTTTTCTTCTTTCTTTTTTTCTTTCTTTTTTTCATCTTATTTCTCAACTTTATCTGCTATATTTTGTTTGTTTACTTAATCATCTTGTATTCTTTTACTTTCTCCTAGACAGTCCATTGCTTCTTCAGCTTATATCTAACATTCACACATTTCTTTCTTTCTTTCTTTTTTCTTTCTTATCCATATTGTCGACTATGACTTTTATTTGTCTAACATTTATCTTCCTTCATTTTTTTATTTCATTCAATTATTTCAGCATTCATCATTTCTCAGTTTCTTTCTTTCTTTCTTTCTTTCTTTCTTTCTTTCTTTCTTTCTTTCTTTCTTCACCTTAGATTTTTTTTATTTAATATTTCTTTTTTCTCCTGTCTTAATCTTTATTTCTTCTTTCTTTCTTTCTTTCTTTCTTTCTTTCTTTCTTTCTTTCTTTCTTCGCCTTACTTTTTATTTTTTTTTTTTTAATATTTCATTCTTTCTTTTGTCTTAATCTTTATTTCTTCTTTCTTTCTTTCTTTCTTTCTTTCTTTCTTTCTTTCTTTCTTTCTTTCTTATCCCTATTATCAACTATGTCTGTTTTTCTCTAATATTTATCTTCCTTCGTTTCCATCCTTTCTTTCTCTTTTTTCAACATTCTTCATTTCTCAGTTTCTTTATTCCTTCTTTCTTTCTTTCATTTTTCTTTCTTTCTCTCTTTCTTTCTTTTTCCTTTCTTTCGTTCTTTCTTTCTTTCTTTCTTTCTTTCTTCAGAGTTGAAATATACTTTCATTCATTACAGCAAAGTTTGTATTTTACAATTTAGCACCGAATTCTTTCTTTCGAATTATTCAACATTCATCATTTCTCAGTTTCTTTCTTTCTTTCTTTCTTTCTTTCTTTCTTTCTTTCTTTCTTTCTTTCTTTCTTTCCATTGCTGCTGTCTTTCTTTCATTCATTTCTCTCATTTTTTGTACTTTATTTATTTTTTCATTTTCATTTATTTTTTTCTATCTCGCCCTAAATTTTATTTTCTTTTGCATTTCATTTTCAATAATCTTTTTTTTTTTTATCTTTTTGAAAAATATTATTTTTTTATTCTTTTCTTCTCGGTCCATTTCATTTCCTTCACTAAAATCAGAATTGAGATATTCTTTGCACGACATTTCATTCACTTCTGCAAAGGTTGTATTTGAAAACAATTTAGCAGCTAAAAAGTCCTTGAAACAAACGCAACGGTTTAGTCACGCCAGTAGAAAATGAACGCAGTTAGAAGACAATGGCTCCGACCGACAGACGCGCACAATAACATCTGAACATTGCTCTAAAATGTTTACGCTGAAAAAATGTTGCTTTTTCTCCATCGTTCTTTCCTTATAGTGTCTTCCGTGTTAAAAAAAAAAAAACACAAGTGGAGTAAAACACAGTATGAGTGAAATTGAACCATTTTCATTTCACAGTCAACTAAACAAGGCGTTCTTATTTCATTATTATTATTATTTTTATTTTCTTTGATTTCTGGTGTTTACACATTTCTTTCCGGGTCCCGCCCAGGGACCTAAGGTTAGAAATGGCATCATGACACTTTTCACTGACAAATATATATATATATATTTTGAATAAAAACAGACCACTTTATATATTACATGGATAAAGCCCTTCGTAAAGTGTGGGCTGTACGTGTCAGAACAATTTTTGTATCTCTGAGGCATGGACTTCCAGACTTGCAGGAATCCCTTTAATTAGTCTACCGGAATCTTTTCCAACTTGTCCTAAGGCTCCAACTACAACAGGGATTGTTGATGTTCCCATATGCCACATTTAATATTATTATTATTATTATTATTATTATTATTATTATTAATATTATTATTATTATTATTGCATCAATTTGTTGTGAGGGAGAATATTTCTCTATAAGTTTGGACTCGGCCGTCGGATGAAAGGCATAAAAATGTTCCTACATCCAGAGGAGTAGCAGGAGGAGCAGTAGCTTTTGTTGAAAACAGTTATTCATGGCTAAACATTCTCTTCCCTAATTTCTGCTCTACATTATGATTCCCTCTATCAAAAGATAATAATGTTGTTGATAAACCAATTCCTGGTTTCTACTGTTGTTTTTGATAACTCAGTTATATCACAAATGTAAGCGGATTTATTTTTATGTGCAAACATTTGAGGGCAGAGATGATCATTGTTTGCCATAATTTCTTCTCTTATCTACTTTTAAGTACTTTTTTTTTTGACTTTTTAACACATCTTTTTGTCCTAACCTTTTCACCATTCATACCGACAATTTAAATAAGTCCCTCTACTTCCCTTTGTTTCTCGTGTCATCAATATGTCCTCAGAGTGTTAAAATTTTCAAGGCCTTTCTTCATAATGCGCTCCGGAATGATTCAGCTGGTTCATTGAACGTATAATTATGATTATCAGATAATTATGATGAACAGATAATTATGATTATCAGATAACGGAAACGAACTGGTTGACCCAAAACGAAAGAAACAGAAAATTCAGTACCACCGAGGGTGAAACAAGATCAGTTTAAAAAGTCGGTTTAAGTGGCAATATATAAAAAAAGGATCTTGTCGCAATGCCTATTGATATTGTACAACACCACCTAAATTTAGTTTTAGGCAGTAAAAGTACAAGAGAGCTATAGAACTATTCTCTTTTTGTCCAATTTAAATTAGCTTTTTTAAAAAAAAAAAAAAAAAAAAAACCTCAAAATTGTCGTCCACCGACCATAGGTCAATGTCTTATGCAGACAAGAGACTAATTATTGACTACATCAAATGAGAACATTATTCTACCAACAAAGAAATTAATTCTTTTCAAAATATCCTTGAGTTATTTTTAGTCGTGTAGTAACTGTTTTAAGTCATGAAAGAAAGCCCCATCACAGTTATCAGTCATAAGTACTTGTGAATGTAGCTGTCACCAGATATATGAGTGGGTGAATACTAAGAAGTAAAATAAAATATTTAGTAATAAAAAAAATTCTCAAAAGGGATAATATTGTAGAGTAAATAAGACGCCTTCGGTAACAAAAATGAAGTAGGCAAGACGCCATAAATAAAGAACTAAAAGTGAGTCAGGAGAACTTCGTCTCAGTCTGTCCCAGTCTCTCTGCAAGACAAGACATCTGCCTTCGGACAGAGGGCGACAAGACCTCCGTGCTTGGGCGGAGGATGACTCAGTCGGGCTCTGTCCTCGGACAGAGAATCAGCTGAGAAAAACCGTCAAGTCAGACAGTTCGCTATCTGACTTGCGACTGAAAAAAAATATCTGTCTTTGGGGGGATTCAGTCGGTATTATGTGCTCGGATAGAAACTCGGTTGATAAAAAATAGACATAGTATTGTACCCGAGCTCGCTCTGGCGGGGGCTGGGTAAATTCTGACAAGTGGCACGGGGGAAACGCTCGGATTGCCAACCGTAAACTTGTCCATTGCCATATCTAGTCCGCAGTGGGTCGACCGGTAAATACCACTCAGTCGCAGCCTGTTCCACGCTCACGACAAGACCAGACCTCTGTCTTCGCGCAGAGGATGACAAGACCTCCGTTTTCGGGCGAAGGATGACTCAGTCACGACTGTGTCATGAGATAGAGTCTCGGCTGAGAAAAACAGACAAGTACTGTAGCCGAGATCCCTTTTGCGGGGGCTAGGTAAATTTTAACCACTGTCCCGAGTGGAAACGCTCGGGTTCCCGACATAAAACTTGACTTTTGTCACAACTAGTTAGCGGTGGGGCGACCGATAAATACTAGTCACATCGGAGTGAAGCAGTCTGTCATCTGGCTCGCTAAGATCATGTTCTCCGTCTTCGATCAGAAGGAAACTCAGTCGGAGCTCTCGCTAGAGACGAAAACTCGGCTGAGAAGAATCGACTATAAATGTGCCCGTCTCGCAGTTACAGGGACTGGGTCAATTTTGACCATTGGCCCGAGTATACACGCTAGCTTTCCCCACAGTCAATTCGAACTTCTGTCACATCTCGTCTTAGTGGATCGACTGGGTAAATAGCAGTTTATCAGTCAGTCAGTCCATTATCTGGCACACGATTGTCAAGCTCTCTGTCTTCTGGCAGAGTGCAACACTGTTGGGGCTCTCTTAAACACACAGAAAACGCGGAATGAGACGAATAGACAATAAATTGTCTAATATCGCGGTTGCGGGGTTGTGTAAATTCTGTCCATTCACCCGACTCTTGACCCCCACAGAAAACTCGAACTTGTGTCTCATCTTGTGTTAGAGGTGAAGACTGGGTAAATATTATTTCGTTGCAGTCAAGCAGTCCGTTGTCTGTCTCGCGATTGTCATGCTTTCTGTCTTCAGCTTGTGTACGACTCAGTCTGGGCTCTGTCTATGGAGGGGGACTCGGCTGAGAAAAATAAACAATACAAAGTTTCCGATCACACGGGTTGCGGTAGCCGAGGGAGGGGTTAAATTTTGATCATTGGCCTGAGTGTACGGGCTTGCGTTCCCCACACTAAACTCGACCATGTGTCAATTCTCGACTAATTTGCGGGGACTGGGTAAATGCTAGATCGCCACTGTCAGGCTGCCAGACTCGCTATTGTCAAACTCTCTTGTCTTCAGACAGAGTGGGACTCCTTCGGGGTTCTGTCTACGGACAGAAACTAGGCTGAGAAGAATGAACAACAAATGTGCCCGATCTCGCGGTTGTCGGGGCTGGATAAATTTTAACCATTGGTCCGAGGGAACACGCTCGGGTCCCCACAGTAAACTCGACCTTATGCCAAACCTTTTCTTGGGGAGACCGGAAAAATACCAGTTCTAATGAGAGTCAGGGTGAGTAGATAAAGCAAAACATAATATTATAACCTCTAGTAGTGAGTTATGACAATAACCCACAAAATGTTGGTAATCTTTAAAGAAAAGAAACCCAACTCAATCAATCAATCAATCAATCAATCTACATTACATATACTACTACCCTTAGACCAACTCCTCCTCCCCCGTCTCCATCACATGATGTACGGGTGGTGTAATGAATAGTCGCTCGGAATACATATATTATAGAGCGGATTTACAACACTTTTCGAATTTGTTACATTCATTTGCGATCAAATACATTTGGGAAAGGCATGCAACCATATTTTTCCTCCTAGTTATGGGTTAAATAGTAAGGCTTGCATCGGAAAAAATCGTTATCATCTCTAAAGTAATAGTATATCCATTCGCAAAATAAAATAATTATTCTTATAGTGAAAAATATATATATATATATATATATATATTTATATATATATATATATATATATATATAACACAAAGTGGTGATAATCCGTAAAAAATCAATCAGTAAATCTACGTTACGTATAATACCTTTAGACATGTACCTCCGTCACAAGATGTGCAGATGATATAATGAATAGATGCTTGGAATGATAAATTGGAGAGTCGATTTCGAACTCATGCTGAGTTCGTAGCCTTCACTTATGCTCAAAGAACCTAGCAAAGGTATTAATCAGTCTTCTCATTATAGCTATCTGTTAAATATCGGGTTTTGTATTGAAGTCCCAAATCATTTCGTCCGGCCACTAGATCCAGCCAACGTTTTTAGACATTGGGCCATGAGTTGTTGAAGAAGAGGCCTGTCACGTGGAACTAGAAAAGTCTAGCCCGGTGGACGAAATAAACGGTTCAGTTCAAAATTCCAATCACCTTCACGTGGCCTATTGAAAACAAGATGGGCATATAAAAGAGACACATGAACTAACAAATGGACTTATTGAAATGCTTCTCAAAACAGATATTAGGAGATATAGCAGAAATACAACTTTAGTTATAAAAAAGAGAATGTCGTGGGAAGCCATGATTAAGCACGTCCTTAAGGGATATGAGACCTAGATGGATGGTTGATCTTGTTTAACGGCATATCAACACCTCTATGTGTATTTAATCACGAAATCTGCATATTTTGTACGTAATTTTATGCTTTCAACTACAAATATTTGTACATAATTTTATACATTGAGTCTGATTTTTAGATATATAGTTTGTAGATAATAAACTCTCTTGTTAGCAATTTTCTTATAAAAATGTATTTTTATATTTGTTTAATGTTGCATACATTGTCATTTGTTGCTCATATTATTATAAAATTTACATATGAGTTGTAGTTGAGGGTTTACTATTTTCCCATAGCTGGGACCCCTAACAAGT